ATGAATAAATGAATAAATGAATAAATGAATAAATGAATAAATGAATAAATGAATAAATAAATGTATAAATACTCAATTAATTAATTATATAAATGAAAATCATCGCGAGCGAGGCGTGTAAATAATGTTCAAAATATTTCGATCGTATATTACAGTTCGAGTCATATTGTAGACTGTGTTTGTTACTCTTCGTGTTACGTCAGATTCATAATATATTGTTTAAACAGAATACAATGTGTACGGAACTTTACGATACCACGATACACACAACGGTTAAGATATATTGTGTATATAAATATAAAAGGGAAAAATGGGAGGGGAGAGGGAGAAGATGGCCGACACAAAATATATATATATATATAATATTATATATTTATATATATATTAATTATACGTAATTTGAATGTGTAATTATTTTAATATGTGTAAATAGCTGCGACAATATGCTGTATCGAAATACGAAAACTCGCTACTATGCAAAATATTTAAGAAACGAAGGATCGCGAGAACATCCACGGATAAGCGAACTGTACATACATTCTGCGATGAACTTGCAAACGAGTTGCACACGTTTCTTCGGCGCGGGAAGAAAATGTTTCATTCTTCCGTGAAAGAGAAAGAACAGCGAAAAATATTAATGCGAACAATGTTATACAATCGAGAACCGTTAAATGCTTGCATGTTATCGCCGTTGTTCCTTATCGTTCCCCTTTTCGTGAATGATAGGGGTTTTCAATCGATTGACAACGGTGTTCTTGATTAAAGCTAGTCGAAACATAGTTGGACTACCTCGAAGCAATCACGTGTTTTCGCAGAAAACAGTCTGATTAAGGATTTCTTTCAGTTTCTTTGAAAACCATATATATATAATTTGGATAAAAGAAAACAGGGAGAATTTATCGAACGCTTATCCCCAGTTTTGGATTTATTCGCATTTAATGAGTTTTTATTGTATTAATAAGGTTGATACGTATAACTTCTTTTCAATTATTTATATATCTCGTACTCGTTCAGGTATTTTCATTTGTATAGATTTACAGTAATTTAACCGTTTGAGTGCGGAGGAACGCGACACACTTTTTTTGTGTTCTGCTAAAAATGCGAAGAGTCGCGGACGCGCTGCTGCTTGTTAGTATGATTTTTCAATTCATTGCGAATGGTTCTGTTCATCTCAATTATGATTTTTAGTAATAGAAAAATTATCATTTGTTTCTGTTGGTAAAAACTACTTTTTATACGATATACGTATACCTAATCTAATTAAAGTAAATCACTGCCGTTTCTAATATTTTTCCAAACCACAGAAAATACGCATTTTACTTCGCGTTTTTAGCATATATAAAGTTACTTGCCCGATCGAGACTCGTATTAGTTTCGTTTTCACTGTTCTGTGAATTAGCATACCAAAGACGATCGAGGACATGTCCTGAGCGGATTGAAAGAAGAACCCCGTGTGTGCACCGAAAACCGAAATTCGATTAACTTAGGCCTAATTTATAACCTGTTTTCCGTTGCTCGCACGCTACTCGACTAACCATGATTGTAACCGAGACTAGTCTACAACGGAGTGAAAGATGTTTTTTCTTTTTCTTTACACTACGAATAAAATATACCCTTTTGTACATCCAAGAATGTCACGAGAAATGAAAATAAATGTTTACGTTATCGTAATGATTGTTAATCGATTCATGGTGTTACCGATGTTTAAAGTTGAATATCCGCGAGCTGAGTGTAGAATTACTTCACACCTGGTCACTTAAGAAGAGGAAAAAAACAGAAGAGAAAGAATATAGTAGGCGTTATAGTTGTAAATAAATAGTCTTTATAGCACTTCTAGTCCTCTAACTAACAGCTTATCAAATTAAAAAGGAAGCGAAAAGGAAAAGTATGTACAATAATTTGGTATGTAGTATTCGAGAAGTCTATAAGAAGGCTTGGAAAAAGAGATTTTCATGTTTTTAAAGTGAATATAGAGTCTGTACCAAAGGAATTACTGGTCGATGTGTTCAAATTATTAACAAAGAACATTCACGAAGAATCTGTTGTGGATTTCGGCTGTGTTAGTCGTTACGATAAAGAGCATATTATATCAAATGTGTAGCGATTCCATACAGAAGTGTCGAGAAATAAAAGCTATGTTCATTTTAGAAGATAATCCCACATATTTAGTTGATTAAACATAGTACGTACCTATCACTTGATTTCTACCGATACGAATCTATAAATGTACATCGTTAATTCTCTTCTAATTTTGTCCGTCTAAAGTAGTTCTGCTATTTTTAAGTACAGAACAGAAGCATTGAAATTATGAAATTTCATGGTTCTAGGAGGTAGGGCATAGTTGCTACTGCCTAATATAACAATTACTTTGGGCGAACAAATTTAGTGAACTATTTGTGATTATGTATAAAAATCGCTATACGACTGTAACATACAACGTATCCTTTAAAGTGCAATGGTCCTTTGCATAATTCAATTAAAAAATTTCTTACTTACCCCGATTATCACACTTTCTAAGAAGTGCTCTGCAAATTTCAATTTGCATAAAACAATTTGCTAACATTTCAACAAATGTAACAATCGTTTAAAGTATATTGAAGATCGCTGAAAGTACCAAGAATTTTCAAACAAAGGATCAAATTCTTTTCGAATTATTATAGAAGAAAATATAAAGAGAAGTAAACAATATTTACTGAACGTTTTCGGGTGATAATTGTTTAAATTTCATTTAAAATGCGATATCGAAGATGTCGCATTGACGAAATAAATGATGAAAGAAAATTCAACACATAATTGTACTCTTTTACCGTTGTTTTGCGTCTGTGTACTTCGAATAATCAATGCGATGTAATTTTCTACCAAGACTTGTCTAAATTACTTGTGTAAATAACACGTAAATATTTACCACCCACTTGTACGTATGAAAACGGCAAAAAACTATATATACATATAAGTTACGTTTAATGGTTGATCGAATTTCTTAAAGCAAAGAAAATAAAATTTTAATAAATATATTTCCATAGACCAAATATTTAAATTATCCAGTTCTTTGTCTCTCTAAAGTAAAGTGTGGATTTCTAAGCACGTTCGGATAAAATAATATTGGTATTTTCGTCATATTTTTCTTCGCGTAGCAATTTTTCACTTATTTATTTAGCAGAATAAAGAAACAAGTATTTGAATACAATCAGAATTGTTTTTTTAATAGATCATTGATGAGAAAATGAATAGAACATTGTCTGTACCTCGGCAATATGTGGCAATAAAAAAAAATTATTTAAATATGTATTCTATATAATTGATATGAGAACAATTGAAAGGGTCAATGTCTATTTTCGCTGTGTTTTATAATGAATATAAAATAAAATACAGAACATGAAAATTCTATTTTGTTTGTTGCACTCTACAAACAAGTATTCAAGAAAGAATTAACTATTCACAATATGCAACACTTCCTTCTACACATCTTAATTGTCTGAGAATATTATCTTAAAATTCTATGTACCTAAAGTATGAAAGTAGCGTTTACTGAAGAAGCAATTTCTATGACAGAATTAAAGAAAATAATATAAAGTAACATGTTTTGAATGATTATTGCCATGCCAATGTTTGGTCTTTATGTCATATGAGAAATAATAGAATTAAGGAAAGGGAAAAGGAACAGTAATACTGAAGAAAACAATGTATGTTAATTGTCACATCCCGATGTTTAGTTTAACGCCGGTGGTGAAGAATTAAATAAGAGGTTAATTCTCAACCGAGTATATATTTCTTCTGTATTTATTTCGGCAATGTTTCGGCAATGGATCGGGGTGACAATATTACTTTTTGGTAGTTTGTTTTAATCTGGTACGTTTCTGTAAAGTTCTCTAAAAGGAAAACTCGCGCGAAAGAGAGGGGCAATAGCTTGTGGGTACCTGTGATTTTGGGTGACGAAAATACAAACATCTGGGATACAAATGGGAGCGGACGGTTGTACGTTGATTTCTAATCACCGACAGCTTTTTATTCTTTATGAGGGTATATGGACAAACGCGGAGCAACAGTAGATGTGTAAACTAATTCAGTTCTGCCTTCGGAGGATTTACATTCTAACGACATGCAATTATGTCTTTTCGTTCGGTCAAAATTTGTAGTAGGACAAAAAACAATAATAGTTAATGGAGTCCAACATTAATGTTCAACTGAACCTTACCCCAATTTTAAATGCGACAAATTCTTGCATTTTATTACATACCACGTTGTACGAACAATTGCATTGTATGAAAACAGTAGTTTTAGGAATTCGCGTTATACGAATATCTATTCTATTTATTTTACTTACGTAATAATATAGCAACATATTTTGTATAGTAAAAATAATTATTAAAAATCATACCAAGTTATTTTACACGTGTATCAACTTACCTTGCCTCGAGGAAAGTTAATACACTTTGACTCCATTAAATAAATATTTTATATTTCTTTTTTCTTCTATATATTTTTTGAAGTGTTATTTATAGTATATACAAGGAAGGTTCAAAGTATAGTTCAACATGGTTCTCGTTAAATAATTAAATCAAACAAAAATTACAGAAATTAAAATGTGAAAAATGTATCAACCCAGTTTTCCCTATATTTAAATAATATAGTCCCATTATGTATACTGCAAAAATCATCTGCTATTATTGCATTTTCGAGACGCCAAAACCAGTGTTAATCATCGTAATAACATTACTTGGATATGTGTATTCACATATTAAACACCAAATTATCTCAAACAGAACGATCGTGAAAAGCTTTCTCATAATT